ATTGATTACCTGGTGGAGCTAGTGAACAAAACAGAAAATTCTGTTCTCATGTAGTTACTGTCCTTAGAGGTGGACAGACAGTAAACAAATTAAATATGTCAGATGTTAATTAAGGACTGTAAAGTCGAGGAGGTACAGAGTGCAGGGCCTGAGGGGTGGGGTGTGATGGACGGGGCAATGCATTTTAAAAGAGGGCTTCAAGAAAGGGTTACCAATAGGTGACATTTGAGTAAAGATGTGGCAGGTAACGTAATAAGCCCTGAAGCTGTTGGTGGGGGAGGAGAGGAGGAGCAGGACATCCTAGGAATGGGAGAAGAAGTATAAAGGCCCTGAGGTAGGGGCATGCCTGCTGTAATGCCATCCTGGCTGGAGTGGAATGAGCAAGGGGTAGAGAGGGAGGAGCTACAGTCACAGAAGGCTGCAGAGAGGGCAGATTGTGTTGGCTTTTTAGGGCATTGTAAGGACTTTGACTCTGAATGAGGTGGTAAGTCTTTGGAAGTTTCCAAGCAGAGGTATGACATTGATTTGGAATGACCATTCAGATTTGGAATGACCACTCTACTTTTTCTTGATAATAAAAATCGAAGGCCATTTAAGAGGCTATTGCAGCAATCTAGGCAAGGTATGACGATCGCTTGGACTGGCTTGGACCAGGGTGGTAGCAGTTGAAGTGGGAGGGTGAGGTTAAATTCTGAATATGTTTTAAAAGTAGGGTAGAGAGACCTCTCTGAAATTTTAGGGTTGAACAATTGGAAAAGTGGAGTTACCTTGAAATGAGGTGGGGAAGACGACAGTAGGCAAGATTCAGATTTTGGGCTTAGGCACATTATGCTTGAGAATCTATTAATATCCAACCAGAAGCACTGAGTAAGAAGTTGGAAATGTAGATTTGGAATTCAGTAGGAAGGTTAGGGCTGGAGACAAATCTGGGAGTCATTTAAATACAATTTAAAGCCCTGAGCTCACCCAGGGAGTAAATTTAGAGAAGAAAAGAGAATCAAGGACAGCCTTGGGACACTTCAGGGTTAAGAGGCTGAGGATTTGAGAAGGATGCTGCAAAGGATGTCAAGAAAGCAGCCAGCGAGGTAGGAGGGAAACTAAGAAAATGTGATGCCTTGGAAACCAATGATGGGAGTCAATAAAGTCAAATGATGAGCACTGAGACTTGACCATTGAACTTAACAATGTGGCTGTGTGGGGACCTTGACAAGAGCAATTTTGAGTGAGAAGTAGAGTGCCTGTTTGTAGTGGATTCAAGAAAGAATAGAAGGAGAGGAACTGGGCTGTTAGTGTTAGCAACTCTTTTGAGGAGTTCTAAATGGGAGATAGAAGATGGAGCTTTACCTGGAGTGGGATATGAAGTCAAGATGTTTCTTTTCTTTTTTTTTTGGTCTAAGATGGAGAAATAAAATGTTCTAAAATTTATGGGTAATGATCCAGCAGAGGGAAAAACTGATGCAAGAGAAAGGGTAAGGGGGATTCAGAGAAGAGTTTGAGGAGTCCATTTTGATAAATTTGTATGCATGTATACAAGGATTTCTGTAAGCCAGATTCCTGAGAGGATTTCCTGAGTCAAAACCCGATGTGCCAAGGTTGTGGGTTTGATCCCAGTCAGGGCAGGTATAGAGGTCAACCAGTGAATGCATTGATAGGTGGAGCAACAAATCAGTGTTTTTCTCTTTCTCTCTCTATCCTTTCCTCTCTCTGAAATCAATTTTTTAAAAAGTTTTTTAAAAAAGGGTATAAAAAAGCCGTGGTACATATACACAATGGAGTACTACGCAGCTGTAAGAAAGAAAGATCTCTTATCCTTTGAGACTACGTGGAGGGACCTGGAAAGTATTATCCTAAGTAAAACAAGCCAAACAGAGAAAGACAAGTATCATATGATCTCACTTATTTGTGGAATATAATGAACATAACATTCTGAGGAATGGGGTAGTCCCAGAGACGTGGAAGTGGGGTACAGACTGACAATCCCCAGAAGAGGGGGTGGTGGGGGAGAGATAAACCACAGAACTTATATGCATGTATGCATGAACAGTGGACATGGACAACAAACTGGGGAAAGGGCAGGGAGGGAGGGGGAGGGGGGAATCAGTGGGTGAAAAAGGAGAAACATGTAACAAAAATTAATTAATAAAAAAAAGGTATGTGCATTTAAAAAATATGTACCAATTTATATTCTACCTTCAGTATATACCTTTGCTAATATTGAATTTTGATAATCTTTAAAATTATTACCAATCTGATGGGTGATATCTTCATTATTTTAATTTGTTTTATTATGCTTTGTAGGAACTCAATAAAATCTAACTAATCCTTTGTTATATTTTGGCAGATAATTTCTCTCAGGTTGCTTATGCTGTACTTTTACCATAAAGTTTTTTTTTTATCCTCACCCAAGGACATTTTTTGACATTTTGTTCAGATAGAGTGGGAGGGAGAGAGAGAGAGAGAAACATCAACGTGAAAGGGACACATTGAGTAGTTGCCACCCGCACAACCCAACCAGGGCCGGGGACAAACTGCAACCGAGGTACGTGCCCCTAGTGGGAACCGAACCCGGGTCTCTCCAGACCGCAGGCCAATGCTCCAACTGCTGAGCCAAACCGGCCAGGGCTACCATAAAGTCTTTTTTCTTTTAGTTTTTATGCAGTTAAGTCTGTCAGCCTTTTTCTTTTACAACATTTGGATTATATAAATATTTCATATAATCTTTTAATATGTTTATTCATTTACCTTTTACATTCACCTGGAGTTTATTTTTGTGTATGTTATGAAAAAGGTGTCTAAGTTTTCCATCTTTTTCTACATTCTAATCAGTTAAATACCATAAGAATTAACAGTTTCTGGAAGGTTTGGAAGAACTTACCTGTAATATCTTTTAGGCTTGGATTCCTTTTGGAGGGCAGATCTTTGACTTCCTTTAAATTTTTTTCCTTATGGTTAATGATCTATTTGTTTATATACTTCTTTTAGGTTAGTTTTGGTAATTGATTTTTTTCTTGAATTTTCTCTATATTTGCAGTATATCCCTTGTACTTAACACATTTATCTGGACAGCAGGTTCTGCAGCCATCCTTTGACAGCGTTAGAGATTGGGTTAGCTGTTTTCAGTCCTGTGGCCCAGCTCATCAGTACTGCCCTTCATCTTGGGGTTATTCCTAGATTCTCCTGTTCGGTTTGTAAGGGATTTTGGGCTCCTTGTTTCTGTTTCCTATCAGTCTTATCCCATTTGCTCTTTAGCTTACAAAATTTTCTGTTGTTGAGATTTGCTGATGGGTATGTGCCCCTTTTGATTTTCGGCATTAATATGGACTTTTTATATTTCTTCTATAATTTTGGAGAGATTTTGGGGAGGGAAGAGAGGCAAATATGTGTTTTCAGTTAGTCTTTTGAAATAGGAAGTCACAAGTCTTTCCCGTGTGGTTTTCTCTTACCATAGTTCTTTGTTTAATTGCTGGTTGCACAGTAGTTGGATAGTAACTTTATAGTGTAAGCACTGATAGTTGGATGGACTTCACCTTTTTTATTTTAAATGAACCCAGATGTCTCAGTAGAATATATACTTATTGAATAGAAATGTTGATATAGTGTGACTAAATATTCAAATAGTACTTTTTAAACTTCAGTGACATAGTCATAACATTTAGAACTATAAGGAGCCTTTACAGATCATTAGACCATTTTATGGATGAGGTATTTGAGGCCCAGAGAGATTCAGTGATTTATCTAAGGTGACAAAGTCAGTGATCAAGCAAGATGAAAAGCCCAAGTCTTTTTATTTCAATTCTGTTATGCTATGTGCTATTTTACCACATTCTTACTGTTCTCTTTAGCTATGTAATGAATGAGGTATTTTCAGCTAGTAAAAAAAATTTTTTTTAACATAGGATGGTATGTATGGCTTAGAATTGCTTCTGAAATTTGGTCTTAGATACCACATGAAATACATTGATGTGGGTTTTGCTTTTTCTCATGTAGATATTAAATATTATGATATAAATGTGAATGCTAAAAGAATGGGCTGTCAAGGTATTCTCTAGCCTAAATGAAAACCATATAGTTTATTTCTCTCAAGTTTCCTCTTTTCTGCTTTATGTGATTTATGGGCTCTTCGAGTTTCTTCTTAATATTTTAAAGTAGCTTAAGGAATATATATATATATTTGAAAATGTTTTGTATTTCTTTAATCTCACCCGAGGACATTTTTTGATATTTTGTTCAGATAGAGTGGGAGGGAGAGAGAGAGAGAAGCATCGATGTGAAAGTGACACATCGAGTGGTTGCCACCCACACAACCCAACTAGGGCTGGGGCAAACTGCAACCGAGGTACGTACCCTTAGCAGAAACCGAACCCAGGTCTCTCCGGACCACAAGCTGACGCTCTAACTAACTGCTGAGCGAAACTGGCCAGGGCTGAAAATGGTTTTAATGATAAATAATCATAAGATATTTCAGACTTAGGATTTTTCATTTTTTAGTTTAATATACCATGCTGCTAGATCAGCACCTACATTTAGAAGGGCTAAAATATATAGATATAGATTTATTTATTTATTTATTTTAAGAACTTAATCATTTTTCAGCAAACATTAGGTAATATATTTATCACACTGTCTCTGCTTTGCTTGGTCTTTAACTTCAACAGGAAGTTTTTTAAATGTAGGATTTTGGTTATTGATATTCCATGTTTGGTAGTCATGTCTTTAGTTCTTGAAAAGCATCGAGAGTTTGATGTGTAGCATTAGTGAACTTGGGTGGGTCTGTCCCCTGTTCTCCACTCCACCCCCTTTTCCCAAGCAACTTAAGAAGAGGGAAAGTTTGAATGTAGTTGCTCTAGAATTATATTCTAAGATTTGTTTGTCTTCAGGTTTTAACTCTTTTAGCACTTTTGAAGTACATGGTATGGTATGACCTGTTATTATTATTATTTGTAACCAAAAGATCAATCTCTGTCTCTAGTATGAATTCTAAGAATTTACTTTTTTTCCAGTTGATCATAATGGCAGAAGAAGAAATTAATGAAGACTATCCAGCAGAAATTCATGAATATTTATCAGCATTTGAGAATTCCATTGGTGCTGTAGATGACATGCTGAAGACTATGATGTCTGTCTCTAGAAATGAGTTGTTGCAGAAGGTACTTTAAAAATGTAATTCATAAAACAGAGTGCTGTGTTAAGATATAGATTAATGATATGCGCATGCTCCTTTCCGCCTTTATTTCAGTTTTATAAGTGTTTGGGTATTTTTAGGGTATAAAATAAAACAAAACAAAACTCCAACCTTAGGAAATACCTCTTAAGTATATTTTTATTTTGACTTGGTTTTGAGAGAAAAAAGAAAGGAACACTCACGGCATTCTTTTCCACAGACTCTATCTCTGACCTTTTAAGTATTACAATGATGTTATCAGGGTTTCTGGAAACCCTATAGGACAAAAAGAGTAAATTGACTTTGACAGTCTAAAACAAATCTCATTATGTTTTTTCTGTCTTTGGTATTGCCTAAGCATTTTAGCCTGCTTCTTATACATAAATGAATCATGTACAATGTTTATATTGATAAATTGCTTTTGACATATAAAGCTCAGATCATAACTCCTGAAATTAAAATAATTCAAAAGAGTTTTCCTTGAATTATATACATTCCTCATCTAACTAAAGATGGTACCCTGAATTGAAAATTTGTGGGTGAAAATCACTGGTTAACAAAACTTTTTCTTTTTGCAAATTATTTCCAGATCACTTGGTTATTGGATTATAAGAAGTGAAAAAAACATTTCTTTGATACATTGTACTGGGTGAAAGTTTAAAATATGTGATGGTTCTCAAAGTTTGAATTTCTTTTCTTTCTCTCTCTCTAATAGTTGGACCCACTTGAACAAGCAAAAGTGGATTTAGTTTCTGCTTACACATTAAATTCAATGTTTTGGGGTACGTATATTACTTTGGAATTAATTAGAAAGCAAATTATTTATTGAGTCAAGGGTGATTTATTTTTGAAATGCTAGCACTTTATATACTGTTATACTTTATGCCAGTTTTAATAGTAAGATACAGTATTTCTTTTAAATCAGAGTACCAGATGCCTGTGAGCCACATACATACTTATTATTACATAGAGGTTGAATAATTTAAAATGTAATCATTTGCGTGACTTTGTGTGTGTGTGTGTGTGTGTGTGAATAATTAGAGTTTCTTTAATTAATGCTCTTAATATATACATAATTTTATTTCATGTAATCTTTCTCTTGTAGTTTATTTGGCAACTCAGGGAGTTAATCCTAAGGAACATCCAGTAAAGCAGGAATTGGTAAGATTGCAGTGGATTTCTTTTTACTTTACATCTCTGTGGTAGTATTGCTTCACGGTTCAAGTTCCACACTAATTGTAGAGAATAAAATTACTTAGAGTTAAAATTATGAAAGTGAGTCAGATTTCAGCATGTCTTTAGTTTTTCTTACCTTTGCCAGAGAATTGGAGCTCCATATATATTATATAGATCTCTGGATGAGAAAAATATGTTATGATTCTCATAATTATTTATAACTTCCATATTATTTTGCCTATAAATTCTTGGAATCTTGTTCATCTCTACAACTGCCTTTTTTTCCTTCTTCTTCTAAAACTCTTACACAATTCTTAAAAGTATATTCTAGTTGATTTACTAGCAAAGACGGGAAAGTTTCTCCCCCACCTTTTCAATTCTTCCATTAATTCATTTTCTCAGCAGTAAAGAATCCAGTTCAGCAACAAAGCTAAAAGCTTTTTTGGCACCAGTTGTATGTGTACTGTCCAGTAATTCTGCATTAGTGACATATTTACAACCTGTAATAAATCTTCTAGGTTTGTCTTTGTATTCCATTTAGATGTATAAGTACTGTATGTAAGGTCTGGTATCTCAGAGGTTTTGCTGACTTCAAAAATTAAATCATTCCATTTAAAAGAGAAAAATTAGAAATCAAACTTATGGTTACCTGTTACCTTCTTGACTTGGCTTTATGAATAAGAATATTAATTTATTCTTTGTGTTTATAAAATATAAGGTAAATATATATGTGAATACAGTTGACACTGTATTCTTATCCTTAAGTCTTATGGTAGTTGATATGTATTTTGTATACAACTTAGTGAAGTGCATATAACAGTAAAGTACTTGGTCATTTATTTTTCAAAAATGAATAAAGCAGATCTGTTGTCTTCATTTTGTTACTGTGTGGACTAAGATATTCTTTTATAGTTCTTGGGGGAAAATAAATTAATATTAGATACAGACATTGTGAAAAAATACTTAGAGAAACAAATAAAGCAATATGATGCACAGATCTTGATCTGAGCAGTGCTGTTGGCTTTACATCCTAAGAAGTATGCATTGTGTCATCTGTTTTCAACTTTGTAATGCAGACTTTACATTTATAAAATCTCTTTTTTCTTTTAACACAAAGTTATTTGGCGTATTTTAATACTTGGGTCTGCCGTTGGAAAAAGATAAAATCATCTGTCTTTCTCCCTCAGAACCCAGTTTACGGAGGAGTACATTCATATTCTGGGCAAGGGTTAAACAAATAAAAAGAATACATAAACCTTTTCTCCTTTCCTGGCCCTGTGACAGATATCACTAATTGATCATAGAGTTAGTGTGTGTGCGAGAGAAATTATGAATGGGAAAGGGTATTGAAAATAGTGAATTTATTCATTCAACAAATGTTTGAGTGCCTGGGAGGATCCAGGCATTATTTTCAAGCTAGGTGATTCCTCAGTGAATAAAGCCTCTAACTATCCCTGTCCTGTGGCAGATGTCAGACTACCTAGTAGAAGGAGAGAAACAATTAACATAATGAAACAAACAAATAATAAATACATGAGTACATGGTGTGTTACGGGATATATAGTATATGTTATGGGGGAAAATAAAAAATAGCACAAGGCTGGAGTGGGTGTGTGCTGTGAGGACTTGGGCTTTTACTCTGAGAGAAGTAGGGGTCATGAGAGGGTTTTGAGCAGAGTTGTCAGTCTTTTTCAATTAAAATATTCTAAGGTTCTGCATTTTTCTGTGTATGTTTATGTCACTATTTTGATTATTTTAATGAAACTTGTAAGCAGTGATTAATCACTTATTCTGCTATTTTATGGCTCTCATCACCTTTATTTCTCCAGTGGAAGTATAGAATAGCTCTTCATTCAGAAGATTTAACGGTGTAGCAACCTATTGTATTTCTTACCTTGTTAAGTCTAATTAGAACTTAGAATATATGTGCTTATCAATCAAAACTATGAAATTGAATAAAAGATCTTGTATTTTCATTCTGCTTATTCTAATTGTGACACTCCAAGGTAACGTTAAAAAAAAAAGTCAGTCCTGCCTTATCCATTTTCTGTTTAGAAAATTTTTAGGAGAGTTTCGTTTGTATGTTATGAGTATATGAGCTGTATTTTAGATTATAGACTACAGGTAAATAAGAGCTAATATATGGATTTAGGTTAATGCTAAATCAAAGTACATATATAACTACATATAAACACTTCAGTGTTTATCTCTAGTGACATCTTAGTTTAGTTTTCGAAATACTCAAAACACCTTTGAAATGACTTTTTAATGCCTGCATTCCCCTAGACTGAACTCCAGGAGAGCAGAGTATGTTTATCCTATTCACTTGCACTTACTAACTGCACTCAATAGGCAATAAATACATGTCTATTGAATTTAACTGAGGTATAGTATAATAAAACTTAGTGGTGGTGAACAGCTTAGTAAATCTATTGCCTTTCTTCTTTTTATCTTGAAGGAAAGAATCAGAGTGTACATGAACAGGGTCAAGGAAATAACAGACAAGAAGAAGGCTGCCAAGCTGGACAGAGGTGCAGCTTCAAGATTTGTAAAAAATGCCCTCTGGGAACCAAAACCTAAAAATGTATCCAAAGTTGCCAGTAAAGGAAAATGTAAAAAATAACTTTTGGCTTTGATGTATACATGTTCAAAAAGTACATCATTTTTATTGTTTTACACAAAATAGATGATAATTTTGTGGCAATGCTCGGTTTAAATGTATTCCTTACTGAATTCATATATAAAATTTACATTTAAATCTGTAATGCTAAATACATTTTTTCCCAGAAAGATTAAGTTATCTTTATTGATTTTCCTATAGAGTACTGTGAGGTTTTTAATATTGTGGTATATTTTATATTTATAGTTTACCATCTCTCTTGACAGGACTCTTATTTCCTTATGTAGGTCAACCTTTCAAGTACCATTTTATAAGCAACTATGAAATTTAAGTTAAATGTTCTTTGTAAACATTTGTCTATTTTAAATGAATAGTGACTTTATGAAGTATGCTTTCTGAAGTCTGAAGTTGTAAATACATCTGTTTTCACTATATACAAGAAAAAGTGAAATGACTTAAATGTCCATTTTTTTCTGTGTAGTTACTTTATCATGTTTTCATGATTGGGGAATTGCTTTTTTTGATATCTGAAGTGTGAATTTAAGACTTTAAGGTTATACTTGAATTTTTGGCACTTTGCCTAGATATTAAAGTAAAATATATTCTCATTAATTGTGGATGGGAAATGAGGTGTATATTGATGGATGAATTTTGGCATAATGGCTATATTCTATCAATAAAGGCTTTAAGTGTTGTGTAGCTGACCTGTTTATTCTCTTTGAGTGACTTGGCCTTGAAAGTGGGAGGATAGGGTTAGAAGTGCCTCGGAGTAGAGAGGTGCACGAGTCATGTCCTGAGGTGCAGCGCCCACGGTTCTGTCGGGCTCGCCTTCCCAGAGTCCGGTCGCATGTTTCCGAGGCTCTGTCAAGTACAAAGTGTTTTGGAACAACTTTCTATTTTATGTAATGCCACTTACGCAGAGGACAAATCTAAGTGATATTATATTATGTTTATATTCTGATTCATTTTTTGGAGATATTTGTTACAGATAATTCTAATATTAAAATTATTTTTTAGGTCTAAGCCTATGAATTTTAATTATATTCCCTTAATGCTTTCAGTCTTTGAATCCACATCATGTGTAGGAATGCCAAGTACAGTAAAGTACTTTAATTTTTGAAAAAGAAGTTGTTAAAATTTTCTGTGTGATTAATTTTCCATAAGTAACCTTGAATAAATGGATTTCTTGATTTATGGTAGCAGATATTGGAAATGGTCTTAAAATGTAATGGATTTTGTAAAGCATGTTGAACTCTTTCTGTTACACATGAAGAGGAAGTCACTGATAGATGCAGAAAGTCTTCTGGCTCAGATGGCAGACAGTTTTTGAAGCTGAAGACCATTTATAGTTATTTCATTCTTTTTTTCTCCATTCAAATGTTTGGCTTTTTAAAACAATTTATTTATGAAAGATATACATTATTAAAATTAAGTGTAGTGTACATGTGACCTTATTTATTGCAAAGAAACTTATAACTTGCATTTCTGTGTGTTTCTAATTTCATAAAGAAAAATATAATACAACTTTAGAAAATCATTAGCCAAATTATAGGTTTGTAAAAGTCCAACTCTATATTTTTTTAAGTTGGAGATTCTTAGTTGAATCATTTTTTCAGTGCTTACTAGTAGAAATAAAACACAGTCACAGTTTGAACCTTGGCCAATGTGACTCAGTTGGTGGGAGCATCATCCCATACGCTGAAATGTCATGGGTTAGATTCCTGGTCCGGGCACATACCTTGATCCCCGGTCGCGGTGTGTACTGGGATGCATATGGAAGGCAACTGATCGATGTTTCTCACATCAGTGTTTCTCTCTCCCTCTTCTTTCCTCTCTCTGAAATCAATAAAAATATATCCTCACCCTTGCTGGTTTGGCTCAGCGGTTAGAGCTTCAGCCTGCAGTCCAGAGAGACTCAGGTTCGGTTCCCACTACAGGCATGTACCTCGGTTGCAGTTTGTCCCTGGCCCCGGTTGGGGTCGTGTGGGTGGCAGCCAGTCGATGTGTCTCTCTCATGTCGATGTTTCTCTCTCTGTCTTCCTCCTTCTGTCCCTCTTGCTCTATCTGAAGATAAATGCAAAAAATAAAGATTAAAAAAATATATATCTCTCTCTATATATATCCTCAAGTGAGGATTAAAAAGAAAGTTTGAGCGTATTCCATTTTATATATGATTTTAAATACTTAGCACATAATAGGTTGTAGTGCATTGGGTTGCTTATTTGTTTATTCATGTCACATACACTTAATGATATTTCCATTGCCAAACACTGCGCTATGTTCTAAATAAGACAATTCCAGCCTTTATTCTATTTTTATGAAGTGTTACGAAAAAAGTAGTCTTTTTGTTCAATTCAGATTTTTCAGTTACTGGAAAATTTATGACAAATTGTGCTCATTAACCTTAGTCAGAACCGTAAAGGGTGAGGGGTTGATCTCTTTGACTCTGGTACAGTTATTGTTAACACAGTTTGTTCCAAATGGTAGTCTGCTCTAAATTTAGATGTTAATTACACCTTTTATTAATCTCTTTGGGAATTAACAAGTTGGAGAGGTTATAGCTATAGATATTTTTAAGGCTAGAATTATAGACTATTAATCTAATACTAAATAATGAGATTTTGTCTTTTAATATTTTAAGTACAATTTTCTTCTTGTTCATAGTTGCAGGATGAGAATTCATTTTAGTAAAGTACAATATGTTAAGAGGGAAGTTGAAGCTTGAATTATGGTTTACATTCCTGGAATTAGGAGGTTATGGCAAATTGATTGGTTTTTAAAATACCCTGTAGATTAAAAATTATTCTACTTAGCTATTAGGAGTGGATTGGCATTATCTCTAAATAAGGCATTGAATAGTAGCCACAAATGTAGCCAGGAAATACTTTAAAACTTGGACAATGCATTGAATACAGATACTTTTTTCTTAAGTAAGTCATCGGAGTAAAAGATGTTTTAGGAATCACTCGGTTATGAGACAGTTAAACTATAATTTTATACAAAAAAAGTGATCAAATTTTGGCTTAACAAATTGACATTAACTGAGAAGGATTTGATCAGTGATTCTGACCCTCATGTAATAGGTAAGTTTGATGTATAAAGGGAAGAAAAAGAAGTACTGGCATCTCATTTTCCCCTTCCTTAGCAGACTTACTAAACTTGCTCAGATAAATTCAGTGGCTCTTGTACCAAATGACCTAGGTAGCAACCTATTTTATATAAATGTGATGTACTTTCCTAATAAAAACATTTCCTTTTCCCTATATCCTGGTCTAAAAGTCTTTGGTTTTAGAAATACCAACCAGCCCTGGCCGGTTTGGCTCAGCGATTGGAGCATTGGCCTGCGGACCAGAGAGTCCCGGGTTCGGTCCCCGCTAGGGGCACGTACCAAAAAAAAAAAAAGAAATAGAAACCATATTTTGTTTATTTTATATATTAGTATTTTATGGTTGTCATTCACAATTATGTTCAAGGGAAAAGTGTACAGTGTTTTATAACAATTCTGTAGATTTGTTCTACTTGATCAATTTGCTATATATTGCTTGTGCAGTAGTTCAAGAAAATGCTTTGAATGTTTTTGGTTTGCAGATTCGCTTTCTTATCAGTGAGCTGTCCTAGACCGACCACTCTGGAGCACCACCCTCTGACTCCTCGTGTCTTTTTAAAGTGCTTATTTAATTGCATACTTTTTGATATAGCCAGGGAGATTAGTAAAGCTATCCAGAAAAGGTGATAGTTATAGTGATATCTATCAGCAATTGAGGTTTAATTTTATTTCTGTGCTTCTTTCCCCTAAAGCCAAAACCCAAAGCATCCCGGCTCTGTGTTAGTCCTCTGTTCATAGTTCCCGCCGCCCATCCCCCATCCTTGAGGTTTAGCAAATGTACCGGGGCTGAAGAACTGTGTGCAGGATGTCAGTTTTGTAAGGATATATTTCAGACAGTATACAAAATTTGATAGTGGGAAAAATAAGCTTTTATAAATGAAACATTTAAGAGACTCTTTATTACTTGCTTTCAGTTTAGTGTTGCCTTTAAGGCGTACCATTTCAGTTTGGCAGCTACAATAAATGACTGAGGAAAATTGAAGATGATAATTCAACATTTCAAGATGCTTCTGCTGAAATGAATGTAGGCCTACCCAGGGCTTGAATTTAAAGTTGATAGTAATACAGTATTTTAAAGCCAAGTATCCAGGAAATTCATGGTGATAAGATCTGAATGAGATGATTAGGAGAAATAGAGAAGAATACCTTCAATTCCTTGTTATGTAGGTATTATCTATTGAGAGGCTTTGTTGAAAAGTGTTATGGTAAAAAGAACAGAGGCTTGTTATAGTACACAATTTGCAATAGTATACAATTCATCTTGGACTTTTTCCAAAGAGGTTTAGTTATTAAAATAAGAATTATAACAAGGAGTCACTTCTGATTTAGTGCCAAAGCAGTGGATTATCTATAGACAGACCATGTTGTAATGTATCTGGCTGATATGTTTCATTTAGTGATCTCTAATGCATTCCTTGACTTATTTAAACAAATCATTTGATGCCCGATTTCTGGTACTTTATTATTTTTCCCTTAAGAAAGAAATCGTTGAGAGTATATACCCTGTATTATAGTTTATGGGTTTTGTGGGCTTTGCCGTTTGTGTGTGATCACATTTGTGACTGTGGGGCATGTAGTATTTTGCATTTTGCCAAGGCACATGTTAATTAATTCCTGCTAAATTCCATGCAGGACGATATTACTCAACTAAGAGTTAACAGAGCTCTACCTCTGAAAATCCACAGTGTTTTTTTCCCCCCTCACAGTCTCATTTATTGATTCACTCATTCATTCAACAAATATTTATTGAGCTCCTCCTGTATTCCAGGTTCTGTCTCAGGCATGGGAAATTCAGCAGTTATTCAAACAGTACGTAGTGATTGGGAAAATGTCACACTTCTTTATCATGTGAAAAATGGCTGCTATGGGTTGAATTGTGTCCCCCCAAAATACATATGTTGAAATCCCAACTCTCAATACCTTGTAATGTAACCCTATTTAGAAATAGGACCTTTGCAGATGTAGTTAGTAAAGATGAGCTTGACCGGTGTCCTTCTGGAAAGAGGGAATTTGAACAGAGACAAGCACACAGGGAGACCATTATATGAAGATGAAAGCAGAGATGGGTGATGCTTCTTTAAGCCAAGGAAGGCAGAGATTGCCCGCAGCCCACCAGAAGCAGGGGAAGGCATGGGGCAGAGTGTCTCTCAGAGCCCTCAGGAAGGAGCCAACCCTGCCCTGGCTTGTGTGGCACAATTGGTTGAGCATTGTTTCATGCACCAGGGGATTGCCAGTTTGATTCCTGGTCAGGGCAAATGCCTGGGTTGCGGGTTCAATGCCCAGTAGGGAGTGTGCAGGAGGCAGTAAATGGATATTTCCAAACATCGATGTTTCTCCCTCTTCTCTAAAAAAAAAAAAAAAAAAAAAAAAATCAATAAAAATATTTAACAACAGCAGCAAAAGAACCAACCCTGCCAACACTGTGATGTCAGACTTCTGTCCTCTGGAACTGTGAGACCATCTGCTGTGTGTGCGAGCCACGCAGTTTGTGGTACTTTGTTATGGCTGATACAATGGCCATTGGGTGACAGGAGCTAAAAAGATGAATACCGTGGGTGTGAAAGTATGTGTAAGAAACCTGATGACACAAGATGAAAACATAATTCTAAAGAAAACCAGGAACTTGTATAAACTTATCCAGGAATACTTTTTAATTTGGGCAAAGATCTCAGGACTTAGACCTTGAAATGTCAAGGGTCTGCTATTTCTAAGCCAAACGTTCGACCTTTCTAGCAGACATTGTCAGTGATGATGGAGAGTGCCATCTTTTAAACTTTGTTATCTGGGTTTGAAGAAACTCATTTCCCTGAAATAAAACTAACAAACCGAAAAAACCCTGTCAGGTTTCCATGAAGAAGAGCTTTTCCCAAGCTTATTATTATGTGCCATGTGGTCTTTTCCTAATAAAATGCAGCAGTCAAGTTCAAATAATGGAAATAAACACGTAAAACATCTTACATAAGTTGTATGTAATTTATGCTCTTGGATGAGGCCATACCACTTAAAAAATCTCATATTGAATACATCTGGATAGAGAGATTTAAAATAAAATCTTAATTTTTTTCCAAATTCTTCATAGTGTGCCGTTCAGTTTTCTTCTTTTAAAGTTACGTATCGGAGAACTCACAAGTGGGGTTTTTGCTGTTAATGATTTGGGCCCAGTTTAATTTTCTTTTGACTCGTCTAGATGCTGCTTATTGGTTTTCAGCTGTTAGAATCAACCAGCGGATTGACTGAATACAAGGACGTCAATGAAACAAACCTCGACAATGTAAAAGAACAGAGGACATCCTCGGGGTGAACAGTGTGGACGCCACACAATGGTGTGTGAATACGGTCATACATTTATCTTTTAAAGGTATTAGCTATATTATTCCTTTTAATTCTTCCATCAAAAACTGGAAGGGGGATTAGTAGAAATTAAACCCTCATTTGCAGGGTGAGGAGTCCCAGATGAGGTCCAGTGGGACATCAGTGTTGGTTTGCGCCGTGGAGAGTGTCATCGGAATGAGACGGAAATGATGTAAAAGTGATAATCCCTCATGTGAGCCAGGTAAGTGGGAACACAGGTGTTTCCATTTTTTTGTTTTGTCATGTACATAATTTCTTAGGTAAAAAAACAAGAAATGTGTTCAAAGCAGCAGCATGGCAATCGAGTAACCCAGTGAATGCTAGTTAGTTTTTGAAATTAGATAATACTGTGATGGGGATATAACATAAGATTGTTTAGTAGCAAATATTTCCTTGTCTAAAAAAACCTATATAGAGAAGCATCTGTAACAAAAATAAATTAATAAAAAAAATAAATAAATCTATATAGAAATGTCTGTAGGTATCTAACCATTTTCCTAAATTTGGGCCCAGTTTACTTTTTACTTTTAATTTTAGACAAATTACATTCCAGGGATAGCCAGAAAATAAGAATTCTTATTTGGAAGTGGCTGTCTTTCTAATCTGCTTTCTGTGCTTTTTGGGTCTGGTCAGGTAGTTCAGCTGATTATAGCATCAAACCAAACGTCAAGGTTTGGGGTTCGATTTCTAATCAGGGCGCATATAAGAAGCAACCAGTAAATGCATAAATAAGTGGAACAACAAATCTCTCTCTCTCTCTCAAAATCAATAAAAAAATCTTTTAAACTTTCCAATGTTATTTAAGATGAGGTTAGATACTGCAATAGGGTTATATGTAAGTGATCTTTGCTTGAATGTCTTAACATTGAATTGGAGGAGGGATTTTATTTATTTATTTTAATTTTTATTAATTTATTTTTGTTACAGATTATTCTCCTTTCCCCCAGACACCCTCCTCCCCAGCATTGTTGTCTGTGTCCATTGGTTACACATACATGCATATAAGTTCTTTGGTTTATCTCATCCATCCCCCCACCACCCTTCTCTGAATTTTGTCTGTCTGAACCATACTCCTTTCTATGTCTATTTCGTTCATCAGCCCACCTTGTTCCTTGTATTCCACAAATAAGTGAGATCAGGAGCGATTTTTGTTTTAATTTTTTTTTTCATTTATTGACTTTAGAGAGAGAGGAAGGGAGAGGGAGAGAGAGATAGAAACATTGATGAGAGAGAACATTGATTGGCCACCTTCTGCATGCCCCCCACTGGGAATTGGGTCCTCAACCTGGGCATATGTCCTGACCGGGAATCGAACTGGTGACCTCTTGGTGCGTGGGTTGACGCTCAACCACTGAGCCACACTGGCTGGACAGGAGGGATTTTATTTAATTTTCATAAAAAGAGGCTGGTTCATAGGAAACAGGCTAATAATTTTTTAAAGGTCAGTTTTCTCACTGCTATCTAACTGGATTATAGTGGAAATTGACTGTTTAGTATCAGAAGTCATACACCCAGAAGTGTAGCAAAATGTAAAATCTTTTTAGGATTTGTCCTAAGAACAATTAAAATTAGGGTTTAAGGAGTTGGAATTGCTAGATTTTATCTATCAGTTTTTAAATTTGTAGAGAACACTAGTAAAGACTAACCCAATAGTGTTTTCTTAATTATGGACAGTACAATACTTACTTTGGTATAACTTATTATTTGAAGTTACTCAGCTACATTATGTTGCCTAAATGCAACATAACATTGGAAATACCTGTAATTAAATTTCATTCTCTCACTTAGACATTTAAAGTACTTACAATAATTTAAATATATAATATTGAAAAGAAATATTAAAACAGCTTTCGAAATAGTGTTGCGGAGTGCTTCAGTCCTTTGAAGGGAACTCCTAGACCCCGTCTTAGCTTGATCCTGACACAGCACCTTGACATTTACAGAAACATCTGTGTGAGAGGTATTTGTGGCCTGTACTCCTTTTCCCCCTTATATGCAATTTGATTTGATTTGTTTATTAATCCTCACCGGGGGACATGCTTGGAGAGAGAAAGGGAAGGAGGGAGAGAGCGAGAGAGAGTGAGAGAGAGCCAGAGAGAGATTGATCATTGTGAGAGAGTTTAGTGCCCTGACTGGGAATCAAACCAGCAGCCTTTTGGTTGAGGTGTAATTGCCATAGGGTTCACCCTTGGTGGAGTCCATTCTATGGGTTTGGACAAATCACTCCATCATTATAGTATCGTACAGAATAGTTTCACTGCCCCCTAAATCCTTTGTTATGCCTGTTCATCCTGCCTCCCTCCAACCCCTGGCAACCACTGTGTCCATGGTTTTGCCTTTTCAGAATGTCATGTAGTAGAAATCATGTAGTAGATAGCTTTTTCCAATTGGCTTTTTTCCCCACTTAGCAATATTCATTTAAGGCTCCTTTATGATTTTTCATGGCTTTGATAGCTCATTTCTTTTTAGTTTTGAATAATATTCCATTGTCTGGTTGTATCACAGTTTATTTATTCATTCACCTACCGAAGGGCATCTTGATCACTTCCAAATTTGGGCAGTTATGAATACAGCTGCTGATAAACATCCATGTGCAGGTTTTTGGGTGGGCATAGTTTTCAGCTCATTTGGATAAATACCAAGGGGTATGATTGCTGGATCATATGGTTAGAGTGTACTTAGTTTTGTAAGAAACCACCAAACTGTGTTTTCCAAAGCAGCTGTACTGCTTTGCATCTTTACCAGGAATGCCCGAGAGTTCCTGTTGTTCTACATCCTCGCTAGCATTTGGGGGGGGGGGGGGGGTTGTCATTTATTTTAAAAGCTTTTATTTGTAGTTCTGCCATGTATTTTTTTTTGTAGAAGTTGAAAGCAAAAAATTATTTAAGTGATCTAAGGAGATGTAGAAAATCTTAAATTTGTCAGGGATGGAATTTGAGTGGAACTGGGAACTGCACCCTGAGAAGCCAGCAACCAGAACATTCCATTCAGAATAAGGCAGGGCTTTAATTTAAATTGCACCTTCAAATTCCTTAAATTTCCTGACACATTGGAAGACATTTTCAATACATTCAAATATATACAAGGCCAAGTATTGGAATCCCCTTTCACAAATACATGTTTTTGTCAGAGATAAATGTTGGCCGTGGGTAAGTCTCGGCCATTCTGACCAGGTTTGAAAAGTTGCCCTTCAGCTTAAAACTACTTACGAAGTGTACTGTCGATATGCCTGGGTATATTCCTCGAAAATAATTATTTCCTTGAGTTACTCGATTTAATTTCTTGATTACTCTTCCTCCTGGCCATGTATAACATATTCTTTATAGGAAATAAGATGAAGGAATTCTTCCCATCAGGAGATAACTCACTAATATTTAAAATATGTCTTTTTAGTCTATGATCCATTTATACTCAGCAGCAAATACAGCTTTGCTATTGTGCTTCTCTCGGTTATAATAAACATTTTAGTGAAACAGATTGAAGATACAGTTGGTTGAGATAAGCAAGCATTTACTGAGTGCCTCCTATGAGCTGAGACTATGAAGAGAGAAATGCAACGCTCCCATTCTTGCCTGAATTTATAATGTGGGGGAGACGTTTGCTCAATATTTATAAAAATAAAGTAAACCTTGATCATGGCATTACTCCCTTCAAACTTTATTACTTTTAATAATTTGAATTTTCATATTGTGGATTTTCTGAAATATGTGCTTAGATCTCTTCCATGTCAGATTTGTCATTACTGCATTTACTGATGCTAACCACTGGGTGGCAGCAAAAGAACATAGAAGCTTTTTTTTTTTTTTTTTTTTTTTTTTTTTTTGCTTTTGTGTGTACAAAACAGTGAAAGCTATTCTGGATTTAATGGGTGATGGGAGAAGAAAATAGAGTGATTAAAGCTTGACATTTAACTAAAGCAGATGAGACCCCAACAGAACGCATCACTAAGTGTATGTTACCCTAAGTGTAAAAAATTAAATTTATGCTTTATTATTACCAAAACCATATTGTAAAATTCTCCTCTTTCATTTTCTTTTAGTTCAGTCCTTTAGTCAAGATTCCTATGCTTTACTTTTCTATTTATAAAGTTTTTTTTTTTTTTTTTTTTTTTTTAAAGACCCAAGCCAGATACTGAAAAAAAAACTTGTTTAGTAAGAAACTTGTGAACAGAGACTTTAAATGTCAAGGAACAATGGGGCAGAGTCATCCTCTGAGAGCCTGTTTCAAAGAGCATTCATTCTTAGAGTAAAATTGAGTTTGGAGATCTTCATAGCCAAGAATTTGTTTTCCTTTTCCTTTTCAAAAATCACTTGCAACCGGATTTGGAGTCATGTGAGTCTCTCTGAAGATTCCATTCCTATAAAGTGACAGTGGTTGAGTTCCTAGCTGAGTGCTTATATGATATTTAGCTCCCATGAAAAATGTGAAAGAATCATGAGGTAGTGCCAAGGTAATGAATGTTTGTTCTTTTATTATTTTGTACTGATATTTGAAATCTGTTTAGGAGAAAATACAGCTCCCCTTTCTCCCAAACATTTTTCAACATAATATTAATTTAAATATATATGTATATGTAAATATTCCTTCCTTCCTTCCTTCCTTCCTTCCTTCCTTCCTTCCTTCCTTCCTTCCTTCCTTCCTTCCTTTCAATTTTTGAGACAAAAATACATTCAGCTCTCTGGAAACGTGTAAATGAGTGATAAAGCATGGCTAGTGCAGAATAGAGAGGCTGCTTTTGCCCAGAGCGCTGAGCCCTGAGCCAAGCAGGGCCCTCCCTGGTTCTCACTCCTGGAGGGTAACTCCCCGGCCAGCCAGCCCCCTTTGGGTTTCCCCGTCGAACTCGGGACCTACCAGTCGTACTCGGGGCCTCAGTTCTTCTTGATTTTATTTCTGGTTAGCAGCATCATCATTGCCTTTATATGTATGTATAACATGGTTTGGTAATTTTATGCACTTGACCCTTAGGGGAAAGGAAGTTTTGGAAATTAGGCAAGTTTTTCCCTCATAATGGGGTATATGGCCCCCTTCCTTTAACAGCACTCAAATCAGATGTTGTGGCCATAGCGACAGGTACTGAAACCTGAAATGCAGCTGATGACCTTGCTGGGCTTGGACTCTGGCCGTCAGTGTCCCCTGTGAACCAAGAACAAGGGGCATGAAATGATTTCCACCGTCCCCTCCCCCTGGAACAGTTCCAA